ACAGGATGAGGCATTCTGAAAACATTTGATTAGATAGATTTCAAAACAAAATACTCTGATTGCTTCATATTCTATGCAATTAGCCCTATAGCAAAGTAATAAGGAAAATCCTTTTGTTGTCTTCATATCTTTTTACTCATTTGATAAGGCACACACAAATGGTTGATACCCCGGAGCTGGACTTTGCAGCAGACCTGGAGCTCCGTGGCAGCAAAAGGCAGCCCTGGGAAGTGCACTGTATCTGGGCTGATGCTGCACAGCAGATGTGCCCACACTGATGTCTCATCTACTGGACTCTTACAGATGCCCTCACATTTCTAGTACAGGCACAGCTCATTAAGCCCAAGCCTCCAAGCCACTGGCATTCTCCATACTTCATTAACCCGTAGCACGTGTATTTTATAACCCTGGCAAGGTCAACACCCCGGGGCTTCAGAGATGCAGACTGCTGCTCAGACTGAAGCCTGAGGTCCAGGCCAGATCTGCGTGTCTGACAGCCTCACCTCTCAGCTTCCCGACTTATCTCTGACCCCATTAATACCAGGGATAGTCCAGAAGGGAATGACTTAGTGATTTGCTTTTAATTAAGAGGCTGACTTTATCCTCTGCTAAATTTTGGGAGCTTCTGGTAGGACTGCAGAGTCAGTACCTCTGGGTCAGAGGAGCGTCTAGATAACCATGAATAGGAACCGGTGTTAGCCTGAAAGCCCAGGGTTTTCATGCATGGTGGTAACACCTCTCCTTCGATGGCTAATGCTGCATTGGAAAGGCAACAGCCACATACAAGTTTGGCACTAGTCAGATTTTTCATGCGAGATATAATAAGAAGATTCTCTAAGAGCTATTTAAATCCTCCTTGCCTTGTGGAAGATGCAAGGCAAACACATCTTCATCTGCATTTTCAATCCATAGTTCTAAGTGTTTCTTGCAATGCTTTTGATTTTATTATACCAGGTTGATCAGTCCATTCTTGCTCACTGCATTCAGGGTGAGATTTCACATCACTTGGAACCTGGCTCAACAGATGAGAAGCACATGAGCCCTCTTGTATCTGCACTGGGGAAACCAGGCAGAGCTGAAGTATAATTAGTGGTGTTCTTTGCACTGCATGCCCTTCTTTGTTAGTCACATAAAATGTTGACAGGACACTGCAACCCGGGAGATGTCTGGAGGTCAAAGGTCTTCTTGGAAAAGTGGTCCCGGGTTTACAGCAAGCGAGCTGTCTGACTGACACATCTTACAGGAGCCAAAATGTTAACAGGTTTTCTTGCAAAGCAGTTAGGCAGGTGATTGGTAAATGGATGGAAGGTATCACCTGCTCTGCTCTAATTGCTCCCCACCCCTCGTCTCAGAAGAGATCTTATAGCAAGAGAAATACCAAAGTATATAAGGCTGCATTTTGGTAAAGAGACTTATCTTTTGAGCAGAATAGCTGGGGAGAGAAGTTAGCTGCAAAAGGTGTTTAGCCAAAACTCTCATTTTCCTTTCACTCATCTCAGCTCATGAGAGATTTTTGGGGCACTGCCTCTGATCCATGGCTCGTTGCTGCTGCCCCTGAAGTCCATGTGTTTGAAAAGCACGAAGACAAAATGTTCCTTAACCTCAGTGGGTGCAAGAGTGGGCTCCTCTTCGACTTCTCCCACTTGTGGTGGTGTTAAGTGTTGTGTGTAAGTCAGGGGCATGGAGGCAGGTGGCTATTGGAAGACAAAAGCACTTGGTGCCCACTTCACCAGGGGAATGGGATTTCAGTGTGGAAAGGGAGCTTTGTACAAAACTGCTCCTTCAATTGCTTGGAGCTGACAGGCACCAGAAACTTTGTCTGAACGAGAAATGGGCTGTCGGAGGGTGCAGGTGCTGCCTGCTCTTGTTCCTTTTATCTCTCAAGCTGATGGCTCCCATCTTGTATTTAATCTTCTCTGTCGGGGAGGGAAGGCAAAGCTTTCACTTCTGTCCCCCAAAGCTGGAGTGCTTGGTAGCTGTCAGCTGGGGATAGCCATCAGTACTGCCTGCGAGCACCTTCACCCTGCGAGCTGACGGGGGGAAAGACCCTGATACCATGCTCCTGGGGACAAACGTGCTGCCTCTGGTCTTCTTGGTTTGCCTATGCTTACCCGGAGAGGTTTGTCATTATTTTCTCCAAGGCTCTAAACCCTTCAGATGTGGCTACCAATTTTGTCTGTTTCCGTGGTTCCCATTCCCTGTGTAATTCTAAGCTAGGCCTTTGAACCAATGTTTATTTTAAGAAAGGCACATCTGAAGTGAGGAGCTCAGGGCCAAATTTAGATGCCTAAAAACGGGTAAACTAACAAAAAAAAAAAAAAAAAAAAAAAAGGGAGAAATCTCAATGAAATAAATTAAAGGTTACAGTTTGTGAAGCGCATTTTAAGCATCCACCCATGCTGGAATGCTTGCGCTTGGAATTATGAATCTGACTTCAAACAACTGTGCTGGAGGTTGAGGATGCTCTGGAAAATACTGCTCCAGCTTCTCCCAGCCCTGTTCTCCCAGTGCCTTGGGTGATGCAGGAGAGAAGAGCTCCTGCTCCACCGTGGCCAGCCAGGGCTACTCTTCTCTGCTTTGGTACCTTCGCACGGGAGAAGTGAGAGAGTTAATTCTTTTATGTTCACAGATGCAGGATATGCCAGAAATACTAGCCTACCTACTCTCAAGCAGTGCTGAAGGAAGAAGTAGAAGTTGTTAACTTTGTTTAACCGTGCTTATATCAGCTGCTATACATTGCTTATGTTACGGCACCCAACAGTCAGGAAGGGGGTTGTGTAATACGCTGCTGCAGGGGACAGCCCATGGTTCACAGGGTCCCTTTGTTTTGCTCCTGTGCATGGGTCTTACAGGCCCTATAATTGCATGGTAAGGGCTCACAGGAACGGTGTGGTTCAAGAGTTTATTTCTATCAGCCCATGCATCTCCTGGTGAATGATGGCACAATGAACAAGCCGCTTTGTGAGGAGCAGAACCACTGAAGTTCAGTCCCCTACAGACTTCTGTCCTCCTTTCCCCCTCCACAGGAACCTCAGCTTCCCCTCCTCAAGTCCTCCATTCTCTCTCATTACTCTGCTCGCAGGCATTTCACTACCTCTCTCCCCGTGTCTGTCTGAGCAAACGCAGTGTGTGCCTTGGCTACTTCCAAGCACCCAAGTGGTGGCTGGCCCAGACACGGCGCTGGTTGCACAGCTGAGCACCACGGGGGCCCAGCCCCAGCATCCCACCTCACCTTGCTGCTGATTTCCATCAGACCTGGGGGAAACACAGTTTTGAGATTTCTGCCCCTTTGCCAAGTTTGGTAAAAAATTACCCAAAGACTTATGGTAAGAGGCACTGACAGACAGGCAGACAATGTGCTGTAAGGAGTCCTAGCCCCCCAGGAAGCCAGACCAAGCACTAAAAAACAGGGGGGAAATCCCTGCACACATGTGCAAGTGCAATGAGCTGGGATGGCCCATCCCATGGGCTGAATGCTAAGTTGACTGACAGTAGATAGTAGAAAACTGTCTTGGCTGTTTTTAACTGTTGAGGTCCCTTCTGATTGCAACACCTTTCCAAGAGACTTTTTTTCCAATTGCCATTTTTCAAAGTAAAATTGTCATTCTTACTTTAAGCTGTGCATCTGCTGTCCTTCCTGCACACAGTGCTGGTAAGACATATGTGGGCATCTCTGCTTTTAGTTGCATATTTTAGTTATATCCATAGTTTTCACACTATCTCCGTAGTCCATCTGCAGAAATAACACCTATCTCCATATATTCACAGACACCATCTCTGTTATGAGATGACAAAACCAGAACTGTTCTTCCAGGCGGTGCCAGCACAGCTTACTAAATCCATTAAAATTAGCTTTCTGCTCATGTCACAAGTGGTCACAGGTTCTTTTATTGCATGTTTCCTCTGTAGCACTTCAGTCATCTGACCACTTCAGCAGTAAAAAAAAAAAAAAAAAAAAAAAATCCCAGCCATGCAAATGTGATTGTCTAAACGATAGTGGAAAATCTGTGTTAAAACTGATACCAAGTCCCTCTGTGTGTCTAAAATTTGTTCTTGCTTAGATATGCTGTAGTAGCGAAAGAATGCATAATTCAAGATGACCAGGAAAAGGAGGTGAAATGGTAAAATTGCTTTCAAGTTGATATTTTCCATTGCAGCTGATTTTCAGTAACACTAGGAAAAGTGAAAAATTCCAACTCTTTCTTCCTCAACGATTTTATGTGACATGTATTTTTCCCACAGAACGATATCACAGTATCACAACACCACGTCTATCACAGTGAAAATACAATCTGAACAAAAATCCCTCTTTGTTTGGGTCTCAGAAGGATAATATAAGGGACTATGGTTCCAGATATTTGGTTAAAACACCATCTTCCACTTGTCTGCCAACCATCCATTTCTCTACATTCCTCAAGCAGACGTGTTGGGTGCTGGTACCAGAACCCCAGCAAATCCAGTCTTACACCTGCCTTTTTTAAGTCTTTAACTTTAAAAAGAGCCAAAAGGTATCAGGAACCACAAACTTGCTCAAAGCTGCAGAGCTTACTGCCCGGTTTACCCTCCTTGGAGATCTACAGTTCAAACGTAAGACACAAATTAAGTTTCTCGGTTTGGTTCTTAACATGCCTTACCTGAAATAATTGCTTGCTGCAGCCAGGACCACTCGGTGACAAGAGAATTCCCTGCTGTCCACACACAGAATGACGTCTGTGAGGGAGTTTTCAAGCCGAAGGTTCTCCAGGCCGTTCTGGAGCACCAAGGAGAGTCCTGTATCGTCAAACTTGACCTTTTCACCATTCGAGACTTCCACCAGGTCCCCCATTTTCGTCGCACACTCATTGTCCAAAGCGAGCGCGGGCTCCTCAGAGCTCTTCTCCAGCGTGTCACCCATTTTCTGGCCAGCACCGGCGCATTCTGCTGGGGCTTCGATCTAAAAAGAGTCGCTGAGCTTCAGACGAGTCACACTGCAGAAGTTAGGCGGATTTCCTGTCCAGAGCTCTCCGCTTATCTGTAGCTGTCACACACACATAACAGGAAGCCTTGCACTTTCTCATCCTGTTAACACAAACAAAGACTTTTTTTTTTTTTTTCTTTCTTTGTGAATTTCAGGCGGTATCAACGTGTTTAGAAAGGACTTAAGATGCCTCTGCATGTGAGAAGATTACAAGTGACAGGGAGGGCCTGCTTCCCACCCTGAAACCAGCCCTTCGCTCTTATCCAGGCCGGCTGGTTGCAGCGATAGGTGCACCACATGGCTATCAGGTCACCTCTGGCAGCCTGGGCAGCTGAGGGGAAGAGGGTATTATTTGAAATTTATTTTTTCCAGGTATGTGGTAACTAATCATGGAGCTCTTTGTTTTATTTTGCTGTTGTTGTTGTTTTATTATATGGTCACATATTCAGAAAGCCTTCCAGGTGGCTGTTTCTGTCCATCACGACATGCTAGCTGACAAACATCGGGTAACTTCTTTAAGGTAAAATCAGTGTAACTCTCTCCAGAACATGGAGCAGTATCAAAAAGCTCCCAGCTGAGGGTCTTCAGGCCACACTGCCAGGCACAGTGATGTCTCTCGTGGGTCTGTGCAGCCAGTGCCGTGCCACCAGTTCTGGGTAGCAGTGGAAGCTAAAGGAGAGAACCCAGGTAGCAGTGGATGTGCTCATCCCCATCATCCCCGCTGCTAGAGGCAGCTGGAGTCACATCTGTATCAAACTCGCAGCCCCCAGGATGAAGGTGGGTGGTGGGGGGACCGCAGGGCAAGCACCTGGCTGTGGAGATGCCACAGGGGAGCGCCAGGGTTAACCCATGAGAACACGGCTCAAGTTTTCCCTTCAACATAAGACTGAATTGGATCAGACATCACCTAGCTAAGCTGACCCATAAACACAAGCTGACTGAAATAATAAGTCACACAGCCTATTGAAAGTAACAGGGTAAATCCCTTGGCAAGCTCGGGAAGCTCTCACACCAGAGGGTTAGAAAATCGCCCCCGCAAAGAGGAATACAGGGCTAACCTCTAACCCTGCTAGCCTGAGTGCCAGCAGACCTTGCCTTTGTGATACTCACTTCTAGGAATCCTGGTTTGGCCTGTCCTCAGGTTTTAATTGTGTGTTTGGTTTCCTCTTTTGTCTTCCAGTTTGTATAGCTAAACTAACAGTGTTAGGGGAAGCTCAGCATAGAAGAGTGAGGTGAAAGCAGCAGTCAGAGAGGGCTGAATTCAGGTAGTTTTTGTGTGTGATCAAGAGGAAGGAAAGTGAGAAATCTCTTGCCAGCCTTACCCTATTTCCTTGTAATATGTTTTTCTTCATTTTGTGTAGTCAGTGCACAGCTTTGGCGTTTGTCTTTCCCAGCTGATGTAAATGTGTTCCTGCTGCCTTTTGTGCTAACTGCTGGTAATGAATGCCTCCTTTTTTAAGCTACTCCCATCTTCCCTCCAAATAGTGATCCGGGAATACAATAAGGCAGTGAACAAGGCCTCTGAGAAATAACAGGTGTGGTTTTGAAGTCACAATGTTTTAACCCTGTCTTGGGTTAGGTTCTCTTTGTTTATCATCATGACTTTTGACCTTAGGGAATTCATCTTATCAGGCCTTTCTCTGTGGGTGAGAAACTTCATATTTACTTTATCAGTTTAAGTGAAAGCTGAGATTCAGCAGCAATCACTTGATTCCAGTTGCTGAAGCTTTAAACAAAGCATCAAAAGTTGCAAAAGTTGCAGTAAGATTGTGTTAGGTGTGAGTACTGGGAACGGAAACCTTGCAGTAAATAGGTCGGTCGATCGCTGTGGTATTGTCAGCATGCTGCTCATTAACTGCACTGTGGAAAGGCTCTTAGTTCTTTAAGCAAGTGTTGACTAGTACTACCACTGATCACTATCTGCAGTCTGTCTCCTGTGTGTTGCCAACCAAGTGATCTATTTTTAACCCTTAAAATTCTGTTGTTGTTGGTTTTTCTGCCAAGCACCTCCCCTCCTTCCTTTTTCTGTTTGTTTTTATAGGGCTGCCTGGTGTTTACAGAATCCCTTGCTCAGGGATTAATCTGCAAACGTAGGAGCTTGTTTCAGTATTTGGACAAGAACCAGGGCAGCACTGAGGTGAAGTTGTGTTTTTGCAAGTAGAAGAGAACACATCATCCGGGAGCTGCTTGCCCGAGCCGTTCCATCACACAAGTCTGCAGCAGCAACATGTTATTTAGTCCTGGGGCAAATCCAGGTTGTTACTTCTTGGTAGCAGCTTCCAAAAACATGCTTCTTTTTGGCCTTTAGAAACTTGTTCTGGCTGCACTCCTACTGTTTTCATTAAATAATTACCTGCTAGCTAAAAGAACCACCTAATGTGGTAAGAGCTGAAGGCTTGTCTGTTCTTGAGGTGTTTGTCTATTGTCTTTGGTTTACACATATTGAATTACCTGTGTTGATTCTATGCCAGCTTGAGAAAACTGGTTGGAATTACTGGCTAGATAACGTGTTCATGACTTCTTTTGCATAGTAAGTTTACAGAGCTATGTAACATCACAGATTACTGCTGGTGTGTATGTGTCTGGTTTTTGTACATGCTTCACAAATACGCAGAGACTACTTTGTGTCCTGTGCTGATCTTCTTACCTTTGCATCCTCTGTTGCCCATTGATCATGCTTTTTGCTTGACCTGCAGCCAACACCAGACAGAATTCAGCTGTCTGCTGAAAGCAGCATCTCATCGCTGTGGCATTTCAGTACTGTAAAGCTGGACTGTGCCAGGTGTATCTGCCTAGACTGGCCAGGAATCCTGGTTCCCATCTTGGAAAGTGAAAGATTCAGGGAGTCCCTGGGAAGAGGCATTTCTGTAAGGATCGACATGGGGCTATGATTAAAAAGAGAGACAGAAGTCACATCTGGGACACTTGCCATTAATAAATCAACAGCAAGGAGCTGAGACACTCTTAAAGCAAAGGCAGAAACATAGAAGCAGCTTCCTGACAAATCTTGCTATGTGTTTTGCTTCTCACAGTCCCTGAACAGAGACTTGATGAACTTAGCAAGCCTGAGAGGGACCACGAGGAAAGAGGCACGTGCCTCAATGCCACCCAGCAACATATTGGCAGCTGCATCTTCAGATCTTAGCATACTTCCTAATCGATGTGGGAGGGAGCATTCTTTCATCTGAGGTTGCCCGTTGAAAGGTACCAGCCTCCAACATGAGCAGGAAACAACGGCAGAAGAGGAGTCTTGGGAAGCTGGAGAGTCCTATCTGAAGTCTCAGCACCGTAATCACTTCCACTGTGCTGCCCAATAAATACCACAGAAAAAGTCTACAATGCACAGGACCCTTCTGGGGGCACAGAGCCATTGGGAATACTGACTGCTTAATGCAGAGGTGGTTCCTGTTTGTGGAAGCAGAGATGAGAACTGCACACATGCCAGGGTTCATCTAACCAGGCCCTATTTTCCAGCACAGTGCAAAGTAAGATCGCCCAGGCCTGAGATAATCTTATCAACCCTGGAAAGTTGCTGGATTCTTTGTTTGTATTTCCAGTACATTGGGATAATGTTCACTACCCTAAAATAACATCCTTAATTTAGCTATCAGGAAATAAATGTGATTTTTTTTTAATATACATCCAAAATTTGTGGACCAAATTTTCTATAAACTGCAAGCTGGCATCTTTGTTTTGATCACACTTGTCCTCCCTCTTCTGCACCAGCATCACCTTCCATTTCAAAACCCCCTCCTTGAGCCTTCTCATATCCCTGCCTCTGGGCATGTGCAATTGTTCCAAGTTAGCAAATCGTCCTTGTATTTTATGTCACTGGGATGTTTCTGCAATAACCGCTGCGTCAATTTTTTGTTTTCCTAGAAACAGCGTGGTGGACAGGCATTGTGTTAAGGATGAGTGACACCAAACTGTGCTATCGCCTTGCATAGAGGAGAGGTTCCAGTAGAGCCAAACAGTAAATGCCAGTTTATTTGGACTTACTACTCTGGTTGTTGTCCTAATCATATTGTTCCCCTGTGTGTTATTGGCTATAGAGGTCCTTAACCCCCATGTATAGATGGGCCAGTAAAACTTGAGAAATCTTTTATGCCCTTCTCACAGGCTTTTGAGGGAGTGGTAGAGGAAGACTACTATTAAATAAAGTGCTTATTCTGTTTGAAGAAGCTGAACTGCGGTCTGGGGGTGCAGCGTGGTCACTCCCAAAGCTGCAGGCAGAACAAGCTGAGACACCATTTAACACTGTATTTTAAGACCTTACAGCCCAAGATGAGATGCACCTAAATGAAACTGGAAGGACTGGAGACTAGGAATGGGGCTGAAGGTAAGACTCAAAAGAAATGCAGTAGGTGTGGGCTATGGGAGCTGATGAGTGCTGTTGCCAGCCTTCCTCATTCACAATAGTCTTTTCCTTCTCCATGGAAGAAGGATATTCTTTCCTCAACACCTTACACTACTACAGGTTTTTAATGAGAACAGGAAAGCCCTTCCTCTTTTCACTCTTAAGAATTTAGTCTTTGAAACAGAAAAGCAGCAATTATTTCCATTCCCTGTTTTATGCAAACGGGGAAAGAAATGTGATTCTTCTAGTTAGTTTCTCACTAAAAGAGAGGAAAAAATCCCATTTGCTCTTAACTTAGTCCTGAACTGCTCTCGAAAAGATTTTGCCAGCGTTACTCACAAAGAGGTTTTGTCATCAAACTCCCTCCTGCTTTAGTTTATGTAAGTAACAAGATGCTTGGGTCACTTGTCTAATGCTGGCTGCTATGCCGCCCATTTGAATTTAAAAGCATCTTCTCTGTATTATTAGTTAATGGCCATTTATGCTCAAATAATTCTCCCTCTAAGTAAATTACACCTTTGCTCTCTGTAAGTGGTCACAAGGGACGGTACCCATTAGAGAAGAAGTAGAGGCCTGTGGTGCTCGGTGACATTTCAATCTCCTGTTCCTTGGGCACCTCCATCTTCTGCTACAGACAGGCTCTGGTGTTCAGAGTGCCCAGGTAAGAAACCCAGCCCTGGAAGGAAGAAACAGTGATATGGTTCAGGCACTCGTGTCACAGCTTGATGAAAACATGATCACAACAGTACCACTTGAAATGAAGGGAAGCTGTTGTGAATAGCAAGGGCTGGGAAATGCACGAAACTGCCACTGACAGTGAGTTACACGGAGGGCTGTGCTACAGCGTGTGCTTGATGTCGATGAGGTAAGGACATCGGTTGGGCTGAAACTGCAGTTCTTGAGTCTATTCATAGAGTATGTGAAGTGGTCTGGTGAAATGCTGAAGGTGTGACCCCAGAGCATGGGAAATAAACCCAGTTTCAGGTTTTGTTGAAGTCTGAAGCAGTGCTGGCTTTATTTTTCATTAAGGCTTGTCGATCGCAGCCAGTTCTGTGTGCACATACCTAACTGATGAGTTCACACTGGACTGGAGCTCACACTAAGGAGTGAAGCTCCAGAGCTGTGACTGAATTTTGCTTTGGTTTTATGACTGCCCGAAGCTTAGCAGTGCTGGCCCCAGAATCGGTGTGGTCCTTACATTCTTCACGATGGATTTCTGCTAGTTTGTACCACAGATTTCTTCTTCAGGTTGTAAAAGCTCTCGACCTACTATTTGGGAAGATCTTAAGAGGAAAAGCCAGTGTGCTGGTCTGTGTGCTCTGTGGGCATAGAAAAGCAGCCTGTCCTTCCTAGCCTCACGCTGCTTTGTTCCCCTCTCTGCAGGGTTAAAAGGATAGGAGACTGGAAACCCTCATGGACCCAAAGCAAAAAAACAGTGTTCAGGTGAAGCCAGATCTAAATGTGATGAAGCCAAATGAGATTTTTTGCCACAGACAGTAACAGAGGAAGGGTGCGGGACACCTTACAAAAGGGAGCTGCCATTTTGTGTGATGCTCACAGCAGCTCACAGAATTCATCTCTTTTGACCCCTGTCCAAGGTGGTTCCCGCTGCTGGCTGATGAGGTGCCTCTTACAAGTTTCTCTCATTATCCAAAAAATAGGATGGTGTTGCCAACTATTACTACTGTTGGAACACAAGGGTTTTTCAGTGGAAAACCAAAACTTGTGTAATTAATTCTTGGGTCTCATTTTCTGACATAATGAAGGGCAGAATCAGTCAGCTGCCTGGCAGCCACCTGCTGAAAGAAGCAGAAATTTACATATTTTCCATAGATAAATATATAAATGTTGGTCAAAGTGCAATTTGACTTAGTGCACCCCCACATGTGCTGTCCTGTACAAAATCAGTGTATATATTCGTCTTGTTTCCAGTTATTTTTTAACCCCAGAGCTATTTTGTTTAGCTTACAGTTGCGGTTTACACTTTCAGCTTGATGGTGAGAAAAATGGTGAAGGCTTGATGAACTTGAACATGAGCTCAAAAATATCAATTACAGCACTCAGCTAGTTCCGCATTGCTCTTATAGCAGCTGAAGTTTCATTTCAGCAAGTTTTAAAATACTGTTAATTATTTTATTTTATTTTATTTTATTTTATTTTATTTTATTTTATTTTATTTTATTTTATTTTATTTTTTGCAATTTCTTTTGCAAGAAGTCTCAACGTCTGTTAAACTGGTCTTCAGGCAGTGTTATCAAACAGCTTTCAAGACAATTCTGCAGTAGTTCTGCACAGGAGGGCTCTGTAGCCCCCTTCATTCCTTCCCAGCTTCCAGCTACCTGCAGCCAGTGGGGGAACTGAGATGCCAGACTGCCGGTAGAGTAGCTGAGCTGACAGAAAAGAAATAGCAGCCTGAGCAGGGATTCTGCTATAGAAATGTACAACCAGGTAATTATTACCAGTAGCAAACATTGTTACTGCATTTTACATAATGGAATTATGAATGAGCTAAAGTTAGAAACAGTGTAGGTGAATTGTTAATATCCTTATGCAAATATAGATGCTGCACAAAGTACGGTGATTTAAAACACACAAAGCAGAAGTGCTGAAGAAGTTGTAGGATGTCCTGACAAGGAAAGCAAATTATCCGAGCATCGAGCTGCCTGCATGCTGGGTTGGACGGTGCTACACTTAGCAGCCTGCACATTTGTTAGTTGTTTTTAAAGCCGGTGCAAGTGATCTGGGTTTAATCCGGATCGTGGTTTAATCCAGATCTGGGTTTAATCCAGGTCACTAGCCGCAGCCTTCTGTCTGGGAGCACAGCACATTCCAGGCAGCGCGGACAGAGAGGAGCACCCCAATTTCCTGGCCCTGTGCGGCACAAACCAGCAGTCCCCCCGTGCCAGGAGAGGTGTGGGGCAAGGTGTGCCTGTGGGAGCTTGTGGGCTGCTGGCTGGCAGGGCCCATGAACCTGGCGAGCCTGTCGCGTGGCGGCTGCAGGCCTTGAGGGCTGGCAGGAGCTGGGGCCTCGGGAGACGCTACGAGAGCTGTCCGGGGCTGTGCGACACACCAGGGAAGCCGCTGGAATGTAGGGCATTGGGACAGCTGCACGAGGCCAGGCCAGCGGCTCGGGCAGGCTGCAAGGCTTTGGGTTTGGAAACCATGACAGATACTTGTGCTGGCTGCTGTCAGGGCCAGGAGGAGGAGCCCGGCCGGCCGGCTGCGTTAAGTGGCACTGAGCTTCGGGGAGGGAGCCGAGGTGTGCCCAGCTGCGCGTGGGTTTGGGAGGTATGGCATTGGAGAAAGAGAAGACCAAATCATCAGAGGCTTGAGGACGCAGGTAACTTTTAAACGTTTGTCACTTCTAATGTTAGAATTTTAACCCTGGAAATGCTACTTCTATTTTTCTGCCAATTGATACTGATTTTTAAAAAAATGCAGTTTTCCCATTAAAAAGAAAATGGAGAATTTTTGTTATGCATTTTCCAATTCCTTGATACCTGTCCCAGGGAAAGACAGAAGAGCTTCAAAATTTCATACTCTTGTCAGTGTGCTTCAGTGTGAGGAAAAAAAAAAAAAAAGGATTGATATTAATAGGTTTATTTTAGGAAAAATATATAAAAATAACATAAATATAACAAGTATCTAGAGAAATGAGACATGTATTTGCCTTTTTATTGCTTCCTGTCTACAGTAATGACCTGTTCCTTGTTTCACTTCTCCTCTCCTTTTAAAATTACAAAATACTGTCTCATACATAAAAATCTTAATGAAAAAGGCTAAGAAAACCTGTCATACTCTATGCAGTACTTTACATATTTCATTGTTCCTTCAAGATTCAGTTCTGGATTGATGTATACTACAAAAGTCTAATAGCTGGCCGTGGCATGAGAAAAGAATCTGTTTATTATCAGAAGCTCACCACCTGACCAATCTTATTTTTACGATCGTTTCTGTCTAATGATACTGCTTATGAATAGATGCGTAGGGAAGGCTTAGGATCAAAGAGTAAACCACAGATTTCACAATGTTTCCTTGGCAAAACAACATGTTGATTTGGCTACTGCACTGGAATCTGCAGACCTTCATTAAGGGTGTTTTTCCTGGGATTACATGGGCTGCCCTCTTCTTTTTTGCCTTCCTAAGACAAACCTTTGTCCAGGACCAGCGATCAGCAGTTGCTGCAGGCTGGCTTAGCACTTTGAGCAGAGCTGAGCTGTCGTAGGGAAGCACACGGCTCTTTGCTTTAGAGCTATTTCAGGTCTGGGAGCAGTCCCATTTTAGGCCTCAGAGCAGGTCTCCAAACCTTGTTTACGAAGGAGTCGGTGACCGGGGCATTGATCCGGGCAGGGATTTTGTGTGCCCTTCCAAAGCAGCTGCATCCTCACAGCAGCTGTTTCCACATCGCTCCCTGTCCGCTCATGCCCAGGGCAGCCCCTGCTTTTAGACAAAGGGCATGGGCTGGGAACTCAGGCTGGGTAGTCCCACCAGTAATTTCTGGAGAACAGGGGGCTTTTTTCTGTGCTGCTCTGCTGGAGGCAGTAAGCCTGGGATTTAAGAACAAACTTGTCGGTTGTCCTGGTATCTGCCTTTTGAGAGTCAAGTCCTGTCACTCATCTTGGAGAAACACTGCTTGGCATGGCAATGCTGTTAATGGAGAAAAAGGCAGCCGTGCGTGTGGTAGAAAGGAGGGGCAGCGCCAGTCAGCACACATGGCTGCGAGGAGAGGAGGGAAAAATCACAGAGCACCTGCAGAACTAACTCTTCCCAGATTAACTTTACCTTTTGGACCTTGTTAAGGACGAAAGTGAAGGCGTATCCCAAACTGTAAGGTGGCAAAGGCCATCTGGAGGTTTGCCCCAGCATCACCGCTGTGCGGACCTGCTCAGCACACGGGGTGGCTGCTCCTGCAGCTGGCAGCTTGGGACCTGTGGCCACTGCTGGGTCCGTGCTGACCGGTGGGTAAACGGGTATGGGCCTCACCCTGCTGCCGGAGGTGAGCCAGAAGGAGCTGGTGGCATGGATCTGCAAGCACCAGAGATGCTACCAACTGGTAGCTTTGCAAGTCTGAGATTCCCAAACTGGGGACGGAGTGGCACGCGCACATCAGTTCGAAGTCTTGTTTTCAGGAAACCTACCTTATATTCTGCTTCGCTGGCAGACAAAGCTTTTCACAGTCATTTGGACTGGAGAAAGGATTTATTTAACTTGAGAAATGCCTGAAGGTCTTATAGATGAAGAGGTGCAATGCTCGTGCCTATTAATTGGTCCCAGCATTGGCAGATGGTTTGAGGAGAGAGCTATTAAGTGTGGCTGAAGGGCAGAGCTGTGCAGTGCTCTGCCGCAGCGTGGCATAAAGGGAAGGCTTGTGGTGTAGGAATCAGTGAAAAAATGCTATTGCCCTTAATGCAAACATGAAGGAGCTGCGGTTGGGCTTGTGGTTACGGGGCTGGGTGGGAACATTTTCTCTGCTGCTCAGGGAACTGTTTTGGCAGGTACCTTGCTCACTCTTGTGCTAGGCCAGTGACTGCGGGTGTCAGCTCTCTGCCATTCTGCAAGGGCAGCTCCCTTCAAGTCTTCGCCTGTGTGGCTAATGAGAGCTCAAACAACTTTTGTTTCTCTGCCTCATTTTTCTCCCTGAAGAGAAGATCCAGACAAACAGTGGCAGATCCTGTCCCTGTCTTGCTGGGTTAGGCACTGTTTTCATGTTCTCTTGGTACTGTAAGGGCCATAAAAAGGAAATAGTTCCGTGTTAATAGCAGTGGTGATGCAACACTCGTTCTTCTCAGCTTTGGAATTCCACTCCCAGTCTTCTCCCATGCTTGGGAGATGGGAGATACTGGGTGGAAAAGTAGACACTTCCTCTCTGTATGGGAGGACTATTCCCATGGACCTTGTTTTGAGGCTCGTGCAGTGGTGAAAGGCTGCTGGGATGAGCAGGAAGAGCAGGATTTGCATGGGCTTGGAGCCTGGGCTGCCCAGCAAGGACTGGCATGCAGAGGGGGATGCACAGTGCTGATGGCAGGGCTGAATTGGTAAATGCGTCGCCGATGTTTTGCCAAGTGGCTCTCATCCTTCATTGCAGTACGTGCTGCGTGTAGGCCCTTCTCTGCTGCATTCAGGCAGCTGCTGAGCATGTGGGCGGTGGGACTGAGCCCCAGCCCCAGCCCTGAGTGCTGCATGTGGCCATGGAGGATGTCCCATTCTGCTCCTTGGGAGACGGCCTGCGCTCATCCTGCCACTTCGGCAAGAGATGACGTTACCTGGTGCAGCTGCTGTCTTAAACAGGTGATGGGAGGAGAGGCTGACAGGGCGCAGTCCTGGAAAGCCTCCTTCCATGCTGAAACGCAGGTACCTGCTGGTTATCCACTGCAGTCAGTGGGACCTGTGGAACCCACAGAGCTTTGGGCAGGATGATGGTTAAAGGCTATTCACAGTCAAAGAATTTAGCAAGGTTTGTTGTATTCCCTGTACTCCTTTGAGAGGTCTTTTATCACAGGAAGAGACTTTGCTGTCCCTTTATCCTCATCAAAATCCAGCCTCTCTTTCAATGCTGTTTCCTTCATTTTCACATACTGCAACTTAGTCAGCCCTTTTTCCTGGCATACTCAAAAAGTAAATTCCTCAACAGTTACTGAACTCACTCTTTTGCTCTTCCTCACAAATTGCTGTTAATGTCACCTTTCCTTTTGCTCAGTGCTGACTGTCTGTAATCGTGCTGAATGGCTGCTGTTGCTACTTTTAGGTTTTGTGCCAGCTTGCGTCAGGACGTACAGGGATGTCGTCACTTCACACACCTTTCGTTTCAAAGCTTCCTGTCCACTAAAACTACTAGCAACGCGAGAAGCTATTCTTCCTGGAGCTGAGAGGTGTTCGCTTCGTTGTGTTGCACAGCTCTTCGGGACATTCCTGCCTTCGCTTAGGCAGGGTCAGTCATTACCTGCCTGCATTCTCTACCTTCAACTCTAATGTCTCTTCTCACTCTCTTCTTGCTCTGATACAATCCCTGTGTTGCACTGAGGCTTTTCAATGCTGCTCACTTACAGGTGGTCTCTGTTGCTCTCTGTTCTCCCTGCTGAGCGATCGGTGCAAGGGGTTTGGTGTTCAGTTGTCACCTCACTGCATGTTCTCCTCCAGCTTCCTGCACTCAGCTTGTGGTGGCTGTGGCTCGCCTTCATCTCCTCCTTCCTTCAGCTCAGAGACCTTCCTTGAACTTTTTAGGGTAGGTGTCCATGAGCAGTCAATAGCTACTAAAAGAAACCACGGATTGTCTTTGGGTTTTGTTTTCTGTGTGTACGAACTACCTGAGGATCATCGGGGTTCGCTAAATTTTAGAAAAGCCCGATAAGGAGTTTGGACGCTCCCCACAACAGAGGAAAATTCTCAGGGCCATACTGGCATAGGACTTCTTAAAATAGTTAACGTCTTCATCCGGAGGAATGCACTGACCCGTTTAGGTGGCGCACTGACTGCATTGTTGAAATGTGTGTGAAAAGTGCCTGATGGCGGTGGTATTCAAATACAACACCGCCAGAAAAACACATGAACAGCACTGGATGCGTGCCAGAATGTTCAAGTAGGCTTCTAATTTTAGTGTAGAGCTTTCCAATGGCCAGCTGTAGATACCTCAAAATCTCCAAAATCCCTGACCTCCTCTGAAAATATTGGCCTAAATGCTTTACAAGTCATTTACATTGTTAAAAAAGTATTAACAAAGCTTTATAGAAATGAGTAATCTTTAATAATTGGCTTCATCTTCTCACGCAGTACACAACTGCTTATTTTGAGAGAAATGCTCAGCGCAGCTTGAAAAACAACAACCAATGCCCCTGCTAGCAGAGGAATGAAGACCAATAGGATGTCATAGCAACTCAGCTATCCCTAATTTCGGTGACGTTGGCTTTCAGAACTGGAAGTGCCTGGATGTGACTGCATGCATACATGTGCACATTATGAAACAATTGATTGCTCAATGAGTATTTTTAATTAATATTTTCATTTTAAATGCCCCATTTACCCTCTTCACACAAGGTATTTTTGCCACGTGCAGCTTTGATTGGAGTAAACACACTCCCTGCAGATAGCTCCTTCAAGCTGACTCATTGATATCTTTTTTTTTTTTCCTTCCCACGACTCATCCTTTAATCCCTCTTCTGTTTTCTGAAGTGATCTGTACACAGTCGTAACAACCCCAGGAGTTAAAGAATCAGAGGACTGGGGCAGACAAAAGGATGGCAGGTAAAAAGTTCTGTGAGGTAAAAATATTCTTATTAGTCCATGTACTTTTTGGACTTAATATCTTTGTAATAAGTAACGCTTCAGGTTACTAATTTCTCTATCTTCAGTAGGTGAAATAAGTTATTGTAATGCAAATGTACTAAACAAGGTGAAGTGTCTGTTGGTTTTGTTTGCTGTTTACATAGTTCGGGGTCATTCTTGCAGCAGATGAAAAAATTGACTGAACTGTCTCAGTTATAATTAAATGTCCTAAGCAGTTCTGAGTTTTATTGCAGCAGGAAAATGGTTGAAGGCTTCTTTTTTTTAAGATCTTAGTGAAAACAATTTGCATGCCAGAATCGATTGATATCTTCAGTCTATTTTTAGAAACTTAGCTTCTTAATTAGGGATTTTAATTCTGCTTTGCAAAGCTCCAATTTGCCCAACTAGGGGGAAAAGCAGAGCTTATGCAGCCTACGAAAATCTGAGGCTGGTTTGCTCCGGTGCGGATTGAGCTGGGAGCCCCAAGCACCTTCTGCTCCTCCAGGTGGTTTCCCCAGTGGAGGAGCTTTGTCAGGCACCACAAAGAGCACAACACGGCGTGCACTCCCAGTGGAGGGCGAAGGCAGGAACTGGCAGGGCTGGCCTGTGGTAAAGGTACATTGTGCTTGTGATTGATCCCCAGAATTTAGGAGAGCGAAGAAGGTGGCACCTAAGAGATGTCACATTTCCTTTCCCTCAGCCAGAAGTGGCAGTACGGAGCGGGCGTCCTTCTAGGAAGCAAAACGCAGCGTTACCTGCCAGCATCGGCTCCGCAGGGTTGCATAAGGCTCATTTAGTGCCCGGTAATGAACTTAATTTAAGCATGCACGTCCCTGCCCTCGCCTTCTTACTCCGCGCCGCGGACTTGCGAGTTTGCTTATGCTAAAGGGCAGAGCAAAAATAAATTTCCATACTCCCAGGCATGTTCCATCGGCCTGTGCCGGCGCGCGGGCCGCTGTCCAAATAGTTTGGCTATGAAGTGCGCTCGGGCTGCGGGACAGGCTGCGACCTGCCCTTGAAGCGGTGGCACGGGGTCCGGCTTCCCTGCCTGCAGCCCCCCCGCCACAGCCACGTCACCCTCACAGGACCCTGGGTGCTGTGTGGGGCTTCGAAGGGAGGCGAGGGGCTTTGCCACCGGGGAGCGTGAAATAGAGGTCGGGCAGGGCTGGGGCTGGGGCAGGGCCCCTGCCTGGTGCTTGTTGTGTACCAGGGGAGCCGGGGGGGGGTGCCCAGCACAGGGCCTGCGGGGCGGGGGCCGTGCAGTGCCCCCCCCTCACGGGACTACAACTCCCAGAACCGCCCGCGGGTCACGTGGTGCCGCCCGCCGGTCACGTGCCCCGCCAGCCCCTTTGTTTTGAGCGGCGCTGGCAGCGCGACCGGCGGCGGCGGCGGGGAGAGGCCCGCACGGCTCCGCTCCTGCACCGCACCGAGCGCCCGGCTCCGAGCCTCACCGCGACACCGGCACCGGCAGCAGCACCGCGGGGCGCAGCGCGGCCCGGCACGGCCCCTGCTCGGCTGTGAGTGCGGGGCGGGGGGCGGTTGGCGGTTGGCAGCGCCGGGCTCCCGGGCGCTGTGGGGTGGGCACCGGGCGCTGCGCTGAGGCGGGGGCGGACGGAGGGCGGCGCGGCCCGGCCCGTTAGGCACGGGGCACGGCGGCGGAGGGGCCGGCGGAGAGACGGTGCCGTGCCGGATGCCGTGTGTACGAGTGTGTGTGGGGATGTCTCGGTCCCACGCGCGGGGCCCAGGCGGCGGAGCGCGGGGCCGGGCGGTCCCGGACCCCCCCGGTGCCCCCCGGTGCCCGCGGCCGTTCCGCCGCCGCTGCCGCCTCCCCGCGCCCCCCGGACGACGAGGGGGGGGGGAGCTCCCGCGGGCGCTGATTGGTTGGGCGGGCGGGGGGAGGCGGGGCCTCGGCGCGGAGCTGGGCGCGGATTGGTCGGGGCGCGGGGGGGCCGTCGCTAGGGCGGCCCGGGGTGAAGGTGAGCTGGAGGGCGCGCGTGCGCGCGGCGCCTGGGGGCGAGGGGAGCGGGCGGCGGCGGCGCGCGTGCGCATGGAGGGGGGGGGGGGGGGGCGCCGCCATTTTGTGCTCGGGTCGGCGCCGCCCGTGAGGGAGCGGGGCCGGTGGCGGCCTGCCCCTCGTTTACCAAAAACTTAGCTTAAAATCTGCACCTGATAAAGGTGTTCTTACTTTGTTACCTTTTTTTTTTTTTTTGCCTGTGTGTGTGGCTTTTTTTTGACTTAATTAATCATAGTCTCATGTCCAAATCAGTTCCTGTTTTTGCCTGATGATTTTTGAGGACACTTAAGCTTTTTATGTGTCATGACCTTGTTTATTACTGAATCTTGGTATTCGGAATATTTTTTTACCCATAGTAGTGACTTTAGAAGACTTGAGTGTCATCCAAGCACTAAATTTCTCCTGCAAAACAATAAATAATGGTAATAAATGAGTCCCTTAAAACCAATATCTTTATATACATCACAGAGAAGGAAAGAAATGCTGTGTTTACTGGAGGGAAAGCTTACACTTCTTTCTGTCTTTTTTTTTTTTTTTTTTAAGAACTTTGAGCACACGTTGTGGGTTTAGCAGCGTGTTGCAGTGGATAACAATCCCTGACTGGTGTTTGTGGTGTCTGTACACCTGAGGCGAGGCACGCGTGCAGGTCGAGCTGTTTGAAGCTGTTAGCCAGACCTGCACTGGAGTTACTGGGATTCGGGATGGAGAGGGGAGAAAACTTCATTTTCTGACTTTGGTTGTGTTGCCTCAGGAGATCTGTTAAAAATACCGTGCCAGGTAGCAGCAGGCGCGATGTTCTGTGGCAGTGCTGGGGCCTGGGGACGGTCCTTGCCCTTCCCCGGGGTAGCCACAGGTACCCAACACCTCCTTTTTCTCCCTGAACAGATGGTTGCCAGTCCTGCCATGCCACACAAGCGCCAGCGTTGACCTGAGAGAGCAGCGGGTGCCGGCACTGGGTGGAAGCCACCTCCCCTGGCAGCAGCAGAGGCTCAGCTTCAGGTACTCTGAAACTGCACCCTTAGGGCGAGCTTTGAGGGAGAGCTCAGGCACGCCTGCTGACGAGCTGTTTGTCAGCAGCCTCGCCTCTGTGCGGGCTGCACATTTCTCCTGTTTCTCTCCGTCAGTTCTGCTTCTGAGCCCAATTGGCTCTGCGATTAAAAAACAAAACCAAATCAGCCAGCACGTGGTTAGCTGTTGACAGAGCTGTGGAGGAAAGGGGAGGGATAAAAAAACATGGGGGTGTTGCTGTGGGGGCAGGATGAGTTCAGAGTAACAAAGTAATTTGTACAGGAACAGTTTACTGATACAAGGTGTCAGGGCAAACATTGTGTGTACCTGGTTTACTGACCTCAGAATGACAGCTACCCTGAGGTTATTTCTGAGGAACCTCTTCTGTAGATAAGCCCACAAACAAGGTAGACCTTAAGGAAGTAGAAGAACTTGATCTTCAGTAAACCCAGCTTAGTCTAGAGATGTGTGTGCAGGTAATATTCATGTAAGAGCCATGTCGTTAAAGCATTTTTAAAACCTGTTGATGTAAGTGTAATTATTTTTTCCTTTCCATTTCTTTTGAATAGATAGCATTGATTTGTTTAAGGTCCTTTCTTGGTGTCCCTTACTCAGACAAGCAGCCCAATGCATTCTGTTTTTTTTAATATATCTTGTAATAATTTCCAATAGTTGCCTTTAGGGATTTTTTTTCTGCTTTGTCTAAACTTACTGTAGAGATCTCAGTATGAAAGTTACCCCAAAAATGTTTTCTAATGCAGAGTCTGCAGGCATGTGTAGTTACCTTTGTATACACTGAAGATGCAGCCAGGTATGTCTTTTGTCCCCCTTTGTGTGTTAGACAGCTCAGCATCAGGCACAGATTCCCCTCTTCTCTGCCAGCTATGAGACTGAAAGATGGGGCAGGCAGCTGGAAGTAGTGGCATTTTAAGACTGCCAGAGCAAGATTTGCAAGAAAACTGAACTGTAGGCATGTCTGATGGAGCTGAACATGTGGTAGTGTTATAGTCTTACATAATTACTTAGTTTAAGCAAACCGACAGAAGTAATTAACTGGGTAGAAATCGAATCCTAGTATATACAAAACCAGTCCTTTCTGCAGTGGAATACAACTCTTTTTCCATTCTGGTCTCTTACCCATGATGACGTGGTATTTATCCCCGGCTTAATTTTTGCTCTATGGATTTTTTGGTCTCTCATCTCTTTAACCCATTATGGCATTTAAAAACAAACAAACAGAACCACCATCATTTGCTGACCAATTTTGTCTTATTCCAAGTTCCCAGCATAAAGGTGATGTTGCTTCTTCCAGTGAGCAGTCTTTACCCAGAGGCTTTATTTCTGTTTGTAGTGATTGCATTATGCAGTTCTTTTAAGACTTTGAACTGCTCACGTAATTGATTTTTTGAACATGTTTTTTCCCCCTCTCATGCAATATGCCAGTGTCTTGTTTCCGATTTCAGGCTAGCTTTGCTTTGGAAAAGCTCCATTAACTTCAGTGAAATTCTGACTTAAAACTGACACCAGAATCAAGCCTTTACTGTTTGTTTTCATAGGTCTGTTTCCCTTTTCTACTGCTGGTGCTTTGTTTCTGCCCTCTTTCTCACTCTGAGTAGCGTGGAGTTAACTGCAGATTGAGCCCTGTGTAAGGGTTAGGGTGTTAACAACAGAGCCGTTGAGAGAGGGTGGCTGCAGCAGTGGTGGTTGTTGTTCTTGGTTTTTATGTGGCCTGCGTCATTACGGGGTAGAACAGTTGTGAAATATCTTGGATAGAGTATCTGTTGCAGATCAGGCTGTGGAATTATGCCTTGTTAACTGATTGCCTCAGAGATTATACTAGATATGCTCATCACAACAGTGTTTTTCAGACAGTGAAGTGACACTTGATCTCATTTTAATTCAAGTTAAAGGAAGTATTTTGTAGGATAAATGAGCTGTACCAAGAATCTGTGTAAATGTGTGTGAGAAATTCTTTATGGAAAATGATAATTCAGAAACATCTTTTCTCAACAAGTAGATGTATAGCATGTATTCTTGGTCGTTATAAAGACAGTATCTTTTAAAGGTGCTGTGTTCATTTAAAAGAATGTTTTTTTTAAAGGAACAATGCCTTCTTTTTTTGGGTATTCTATATTAAGCGATGGTGCAGCCAGATTTGGATTGGGTAATTGCAGCTCTGAAAGACACTGGCATGTCAGGAAATGAAAATTGAGTGAGGTACTAATGTTTACTGGCTGTAAGTGGGGAATGAGGGAAACTGAACATAATCTCTTGGATTATTTAGGGAATAAATACTTCTGTAAGTTTTAAAGTAATTCAGTATATGGCTTTCTAGACTTGGAAGTGCATTTGGAGTGGCATCTGTGTCAGCCCCATGTGGGCGTTCTGCCCAGCTTCTTGCTGCCTCAGTATATTTTGGTGGGCAGTCATCGAGTTCATTTTAAAGTTCAGGAGAGGCAAAGAGCCCTGTTGCTGCTTGATTGGTTGATCATGTTACGTCTAATATGCAGTACCTGCAGAATCAGCTGCATTTTCTTTACCTGAAAACTTGAGATTTGGCATTTACTAACAGTATTTTTGCAACTTCAGCGCTCTGATAGTATTACTGTGTGTTTGTGTGCTGGGGGAAGTTGTACAGCATGTTCTTGAAACCGGAAAGTGAGCAGAAATGTTGCTAGTAATTTTTTGCTAGTAGTACTTTGGAAAACAGAAAATCCTGCCTTTACTCAGTAAATTGCCCTTGGTCCCAAGTTTCAGTATTTTTTTTATGCAAGTAAACTTAATCCTTTCTCCATTCTGTTTTGCACATTAGTGGTTTACACTCATAACTGATTAAATCTTATCAGTGAACTAACTTCTAGGTGTAAGGAACAAAAATGTAAAAACAGTTCTTACAGTCCAAGTTGTTCATTGAGGTAACTGAAGGTTGTTAAACACTAGTGTTATAAAGCTGTATTATGATCAACATAAATCACTCCTTTATTTTCGTTATTATCTCAACTGAATTTTTATGTTGCAAATTTCATTCTTATTTTTTTCACCTTTTGATAGTGTTAAGTGGAGGCTCCAGCTGAAATGAGGATTCCACTGAAAGAATGAGAAAAGCCCGAGCTCTGAATCTTTATCCAGGAAGGCCCTTGGTTTCTGTCAGTAAAGTGATTTGCGAGAGCTGAGGCCTCACTTTATTTATCTTGAATGCTAAGGCAATGCCTGCGGTGCTGGGACAGACAGAATTTGTCATCAATAATGCCTGTGCATAATATATGTACATTGCATAGGGTATGGTTTATATTTAACACACAACAGATGATGCTGCATTGCCCTGCACAAGGTCATTTGCCCTGTAATACTCTGTCACCTCTAGAAAAGGTCAAAACTTGTGCCAGTTATTACAGTGACCAAACAAGTGTCTTGTCTAATTATTGTGATGTAGAATATACCAAACTGAATACTGAAGTGTTTTAATTTTTCAGACCGTAGCACTGCAAAGGAGAAACTCAGACAACTTTTCTCAATGACTCTATAGCCAACTAATGTAACAATGGTACTAATATTGGGACGCAGACTGAATAGAGAGGATAGTGGGATACGAGATTCCCCTGCAACCAAGCGGAAAGTTTTTGAAATGGACCCAAAATCGTTGTCAGGCCCTGAGTTTTTTGACTTCTCCTCGGGATCATCGCATGCTGAAAGCATTCTCCAGATCTTCAATGAATTCCGAGACAGCCGGTTGTTCACAGATGTCATTATCTGTGTGGAAGGACGGGAGTTTCCCTGCCATCGAGCGGTTCTCTCAGCCTGCAGCAGCTACTTCAGAGCGATGTTTTGCAACGATCATAGAGAAAGCAGAGAGATGTTGGTGGAGATCAACGGCATTTTAGCCGAAGCCATGGATTGCTTTCTGCAGTATGTGTACACTGGCAAGGTGAAAATCACCACAGAGAACGTGCAGTATCTCTTTGAAACATCCAGCCTCTTTCAGATTAGTGTTTTACGTGATGCCTGTGCCAAGTTCCTGGAGGAGCAGCTGGATCCCTGTAACTGCCTGGGAATCCAGCGCTTTGCCGATACGCACTCGCTCAAGACACTGTTCACCAAGTGCAGGAACTTCGCGCTGCAGACATTTGAAGACGTGTCCCAGCATGAAGAGTTCCTTGAGCTGGGGAAAGATGAGCTTATTGATTACATTTGCAGTGATGAACTGGTGATCACTAAGGAAGAGATGGTGTTTGAAGCTGTCATGCGCTGGGTGTACCGGGCAGTTGAGTTGCGAAGACCAGTGTTGCATGAGCTGCTGACACATGTCAGGCTCCCACTACTACACCCAAACTACTTTGTTCAGACTGTAGAGGTGGACCAGCTGATTCAAAACTCCCCTGAGTGCTATCAGCTGCTGCACGAAGCCCGGCGGTACCATATCCTTGGAAATGAGATGATGTCTCCCAGGACTAGGCCACGCAGGTGAGGAAATAATTTTTTTGACTTCTTCCTGTAATAGGAGGACACGGTTTGATGTACAGATGTTTGGTATACACTCCCAGAACAAAAATATTTTTCAGACAATTTTATTCTCTGTTCTGGAGCACTACAGTTACACCTGTGTACTTCCCCACAACACATGAAGCCCACACATGTCTACAAAATAGAAATAAAGGAGTTTTTTTGCATAGATCGTTCCATTGCTATGGAGTAAATGACCACTTGGGTAAGTTCAGCTATTTGACCTTGTAAGTAAAATATTTTCTGAAGGTTAATGTTTGCTGGCTGACATCTTATTTCATACAGTGGTAACATCTTGAAAACAGCTTACTATGCTGTAGCAAGTAAACAATTCCATTTCCCAAACTTCTTTCTTTTTATAACAGTTAAGTGCACAGTGTGCCAAAAAGGATATGGATAAGGATATGCATACAGAACATGTTGCATTGCGGAATGCTTTACAAATGGAGTAGTATAAAAAGTTGCAGTAGACAACAGAACAACAGGTTCTGAACTATAAAGAAACTGTATCTTTCATTTTTAAAGAATTACAAAACAGTTCCTGAAATACTTCATACTTATTCCATGACATTTGAATAATCCAGTATTACTGCTCCTTAATAATGTGTCACAAAAATGCAAATGGTGACTGAATTTGCAAGAGGAAGACCATACCTGGCATTTATGGTCAGTGGTGGCTATGATCCTCCCCCTGCCCCCAAGAGAACTTTCCCAGTAAGAGCTTTACCTCTGCCTGGTAGTTGACATGACAGTTTGTTAACTCCAGCTGATTTAAATTGCAGTTTTAAAATCATGTGCTGTGCTGAGGTGATGCAATGATCTAGTCTGGACAAACAGTTAGATTGTGTTAGGAGTTACTCCTCTTTGTTTATTCTTATTCTTAGTCATACGTGGTTGCTGTGCGGTGACTGTGCAGGAAACCTTAATTTTTTTGGCATGTGTTACAGGCCTTCCTATAGGGCAAAAAACATTTGGAAACCATTTGTCCCATTAGTGGCTTTCCAGTCTTGAATCCTGCTGTGAGAGAAGAAATTCCTCTTAAACTTCTTGCAGCCCTGCTGTCTGGCTTTCAAAGCAGTACAGTGCCATGGAGGGTCGAGGCTTTTGGTTTACTGCAGGTTGGCAACTGGTGAAGTCTCAGAAGCCTTCCCTGAGCTTGGACCTGCGGGGGGAGGTGTGGTGATCTGAGAGCTTAGACCAAAGACCTTGTTTTGTGAATTGGAGGGGGGGCTGCATCTCGTGGTATTTGGCGTGGTGTTTGTAAGTTTATTATTCACTTTGATAAACAGCGAAGCACCTTTGCTTAGACCCAAAACCTTTCTCAGAGTACATGGTATATGAATACGTACCTGGGGTTCTGAATAGACTCACAATGGCATTCCCATTTGTAAATTCAATTCCTTGTATAATGCAGGTGATTTTGGGGTGGGTGTCTGTGTTTTCACTGCTGGACTTAATAAGCCACGCTGAATTTGAGTAGGCAGGAATGAGAGAAGTAATTTACAAAGAGACGCTGGCTGGCCTCCCAGCAGGATTTTTTCCCCTTTTCTATATTACATTCATGAAATAGTTCTTTGTCATTTGCTTCTGTTGCCTATTTGTTTTGGTTGCCTATAGCAAAAAGAGGTCTTGTTGTAAAACAGTTACCAGGTCCCACTTTGCTGATGTTCTCATCACACCTTTTCTGGGTGTTTCTTGTGGTTTTAGGGAGGAAAGGACACTGGGAAGGTTTTTTCTTTCTTGACTTCCTCTAAATATTTTTTAAATATATGGACCCTTTCTAAAGTGAAACTGTGCAGGATCAGAAGCTTCCAAACCAATGCTTTTACTGAAACTTACAGAAATTAATTGTGGTTCCTTGTATGGGTATATATGCAATTATGGGTAGAGTGGATTCTACATGTTTCTTTTTAGGAGAACAGTGTAGATTGCATTTTTGGTTAACTTTTTTTAAGCTACTAAAGAGTTAACTTGAAGTAAACAAAAGTTTAAAATATGGGGTAACCTGCTCACTCTTTTAATGTTGTATGCCACTAGCCATTGTTGACAAACACACGAGGTCTTTCTGAAGTTCTTTCCAGTTACATTCATGAAATGACAGTGACATCTTGAGGTTGTCTCACTCCTTTCAAGTCTCTTGTCCCCTGCTGGCTGTGCTGCACAGCAAATCTCCAAGCCAAGGTGAAGCAGCAAGCAACAATGATTTTCCATATACAAAACAAAGCAGGCTCTTACTTCTGCGTGGCTCAAATTATCTTCAGATTTTCACATACCTGTGAGTTCTTTAATCACACAGCTCCTTTAAAGATGTCTGGTGTGAATGTTCACTTTAACAGGTTAGGTGTTACAACTTTTATACATCTCAACACATTCTTTTTGGCTTTTAGTAAAGTTTTAATGTAATTCCTTGTTTTTTCTCCAAGGAGATGACTTTATTTCACTGCACGTTTGTCATCCCATTTGCTACACAAGTGAATTAACAGGAGAAAACGTAGTAACTTAAAAACCTTGTAACTTATCTCCTGAGTTTAAAGTGTTTTCGAATGGAATCTCTTCAAATTACTGGAAGTTCTTCAGTCCAGCTAACACAGTGATGGTTTGCATTGTCACCTAGGCTAAAAGTCTGCATACAGCTCTGGACCCCCTTGGAAACCTCTTTTTGTGATGTCCTGGATTATGATATTCTGTTATCTGTCTTCCACTCTTCCATTATCTGACCCCTAAGTAACCACAGGGTCTCTCCTGGAGTCTCCTAAGTGCCTGTCTTAGCTCACCTCTGATACTCTGCTCTCACTGTTACCTTTGAGTGCTACAAGGAGGGCTTCTTGTACTGCTGGCTGAGATCATGTCTTCTCTGGGAATGGCAGCTTCTAGTCTCCATTCATATACAGCATTAGTTCTTTTCTGGCATTAGATGTTGCCTGAATGTTCTTTGTGTGTATTCCCCCCTATGCTTTTTTAATTGATGTGTCCTCTGTCACCTACTAGAAGACTTTTTTGATCTAACTTTAAAACCTCTGCAGTACAAGGCTCCTTTAAGAAGTAACAGAAAATTTTTACTTTTTTTTTAACTGAAGTAATTATATGGCTATGTAGGTAATAAAATTTTGAGAAAACACTATTCCTGTGGATTTAAAATATTCTACTGAACTAATATTTCCTTTAAAGAGCAAAACTCTCATTGCAATTCATAAAGAGCCCTATCCAATCCAAGTTTTTTCATTTAATTTTAAAATAAAGATTGCTAGTCTAGCACAGTAAGCTTTTCATTAAAGCAAAGCCTTGGTTCTAGTCTAAAAAGCAATCAACGAACAAACATCTTCTGTATGTGCAGTTAGTTGATATGTTTGGGCTTGCTTCTAGGCAAATTGAGACAGATATCTTGCTCTTGAGAAAGCTCTTTTCTTTTTCTGGGTAATACTTTGCTGGCACAGAAAGTTCCCCTCCCTTAATCTTTGAGAGATTCTTTTCAGAGTCGTTCCTCTTAAAAACAATAACAGTAAATACATAGAAACCAGGAACCTGTGTCGCTTCAAAGCTGAGCAGCTGAAGAGAGTGTTTCTTCTGACTAGTTCAGGTGCGTAAACGTGCTTCCTCTGTTACAGATCTCCACTGCATAATCTTATAGTGCATTTTCATTTATTGTTGTCTTTATGTAAAATACTTGGAGAAGAAAGTGAAATGTAATTTATGATGTGTGGTGACAAGGAAAATAAGAGCTAGTTTTGTTCTTGATGCTTCAAAATGGGGGAAATGGCATTGGGTTTTATAAGCTAGTATGTGTGTAAGTCCACATATTAGGAAATTTGGATATAGATCATGAGATTTATCTCAAATACAATCAAAAGGAGATTTTTTGAGAGGAGACTGCAGTCCACAGCAATGATACAAATGAGTTCTCTATTCATTTGGACATCAAAGTTAAAAAGATCAAAGTTGAAAGAAAACACAGGACAACAAAAAGGCTTACTAAAAATCAAGTCAGTGTTGCATTGTTATACTTGGTTAGTAGACGACAGTCCTTGAAATAACTGTCAGTGCAGAATTCTTTTTAAAAAAAAACTTGAAAAGAGTAGATTTTGAGAAATGCTAATAACTTACAGGTTTTAACAATTAAATTGAGTCATAATTTGATTTGTATGTAAAAGATGGTACATTCAAATGTGGATTAAAATACAATGAGTTTCTATTACTGTGAATATGGAATATGTATAATGCAGAAGGATCGGGCTAGTTGGATAAAAAGAACATGAAACAGAATTTTAAAAGCTTATTTGTATGTACTGCAGACTGTCTTATGCTAAACTTTTCACCAAGTTCTAGTTCTCATTTTATGGGTGAATTTTTGTTTTAGCATTCCTTAACGTCTCAGTCTGTCACTACACTTACTCTTCTATATTTGTGGTGCTTTTTTTTTTTTAAACCGCATTGTTTCTAGGATTTTTTTTTCTCTCCTCTTTATTTTGAGGACTCTGCCTTCAGTTTTCCTTCTCCAGGAAATAACCTAAACATTTTAGAGGTGTTTTAAATTGTGTAATACTTGAATAGTGTGAAGTGCTATAAATTTCATAACATTTGATGGGAACAGGGACTGGTTTCAGTGTGAAGAATAGATAATTACAGTTCAGCAACAGATTACTCACCTAATTGTCTAAGACCTCGAACATTTTTCTGGTATCTCTATGCACCCAAAGTCTATTAGACTGTGGGCTTCCTGTATTTTTAATTGTTGGGATTTCTTTACTAGACTACTCTGCAGTGTGACTCCATGTATGCAAAAAAAAAAAAAAGGTCTGTGTGCTAACATCTCATATAATGAGACAAGAGGAAGCAATGAAAACCTGTCATAGTTTGGGGGGGAGTAGTTAGAGGAGAGGGATGGTATAGGAGCAAATAGTAAGCTTTCTGGTTATTACTTTTTAAGCAGTTTTTGTAGACAGTGCTGTTTGACTTTCATGTTCTAATAAATAACATTAACATCTTAGTTTTCTGTTTTTGCTTTTTTAGATCAACTGGTTATTCAGAGGTGATAGTTGTTGTTGGAGGCTGTGAACGAGTTGGAGGCTTTAACCTGCCATATACTGAGTGCTACGATCCTGTAACAGGAGAGTGGAAGTCGCTGGCTAAACTTCCAGAGTTTACCAAGTCCGAGTATGCAGTGTGTGCCCTACGGAATGATATTCTTGTTTCAGGTGAATAATCATTTTGACTCTTTTGATTTCAAGCACCTGAGTTGGGGATATATTTATGCCAGCCTTTATGGGAAAATGAGCAATGTTTTAAGACACCTCTCATTCAGCCTTTTAGGAAGGGTAGATGTTATGGTACAGCTGATAATTTAGATATTAAGTACCATATGTTAGTTTAACCAAAGAATCTGTCTCCCGTTTGTCATTTGAGCAAAACTTCCACAAAGAAAGTGGATGCATGGATCAAATAGAGGGTAACAGCTAAGAATGTGTCATGAGGCATGAACCCTTAAGATAACTGTTTGGAGTGTTTCATCCAGATAGTGATACTGAAGGAAATCTGGGCAAAAAGCCATTAGATTATTTCTTGAGATTTGAATGCATTTTAGTATGATATCAGCATGTTATGGTTCACAGAAGTAAAGTCATAGAATCATACAGGTTGGAAAGGACCTCTAGAGCATCAAGTCCAGCCTTCAAGCTAGTGTTGACAAGTCCACCACTAAGTCATGCTATTAAGTTCTACTTTTACATGTTTCTTGAAGACCTCCAGGGGTGGTGACCAACCACTTCCCTGAGCAGCCTATCCCAGTGCTGCACAACCCTTTCAGTAAAAAAATTTCTCCTAATATCTGACCTAAACCTCTCCTAGTGCCTCCCCTTGAGGCCATTTCCCCTCAGCTTCTCACTTGATGCTTGGGAGAAGAGCTCAATCCCCACCTCACTACAACTTTGTTTCAGGTAACTGTAAAATACAGTAAGATCTCCCTGGGCTGCCTCTTTTCCAAGCTAAACAACCCCAGCTCCTTCAGCCACTCCTCATAAAATAACTTACTGTATCTTTTTATTTTTTAAATCCACTGAAACTGATTTTTCCAATCAAGTATAAAGATCTGTATTGCTGAAACAGGATATAATTTTATTACACACTGTGGAGGGGCATGTTGGAAGTTGACTGTTCTCATTCAAGCATGAATTTATTCAGATTGACATATTTGTTTTTAAAGGCGGAAGAATCAATAGTCGGGATGTTTGGATTTATAACTCTCAGCTTAACATTTGGATCAGAGTTGCCTCCTTAAATAAAGGCAGATGGCGTCATAAAATGGCTGTGCTTCTTGGTAAAGTAAGAGAAGTATATTTATAATTTATTTAGCTGTGATTCTACATGTATAAGAAAATAGTGGAGAAAAACATACATGTACATATTTAGTTTTACCTTGTTGCACTCCCTATCAAATCATATTTTCAAATAAAATAATGCTTTAAATAACTGTACTCTTGATCAGTCAGATGCTATTCATGGATATGAAAATCATGTTACTTGTCAACAGTTCTTTGATCTTTTCATTGAACTGTCTGATCTCCAAGAAGCAACTTCTTTGCAGGCAAACATATATCAGGATTTGTCCATTTCAAAAATGCTTTCAAAGTTTAATGGTTTATGTAGTTATTTAAAGCAGTACTGCTTTCTGTTACCCATTTCTGTGCTCTTTTATTTACTATTTTATATTAAAGTTGAATATATTACTACGAGAAGATAGAAATTTTTAATGTATTTTAAAGGCATACATGCCTTTACGTAAAAGCAACTGAATCTGTTAATGAAACTTAGGGAAGGTGTGTGTGTGTTGCCCCTTGGAGCATTTCTTTTTAGAAATGGAACAAGTGAAGGGAAGAAGGTAGACACAAATGATAACGAACTCTGCTTCTTAAGTATGAGAGAAGCAACAGGAAAGAAAGGAGGCTTATGAACTGAGAAGGAATATCTTTGTAAGCAAGGTAGGGGGTGAAGAAGGAGAAAAGCAAAGATACGTGCAGGTGGACTTTTTGCTGTTGCTGAATGTAATCTTTAACAAGTGAAATGCAGAGAAGTGCCTTCTCTTCCAAGTGCCATTCAAGTAGCAAGCTTCTGTGTTTTATTATAATGCTATGCTTTGGATGTCTGTTTGCAGTATTCTTCCACGTGTGACTGAATGGAAACTCACCTGGGAGTTTTTAACTATTATAAAGAATATGGCCTACCAATCTTTTTAATAATAGTACCCCTTCACTAATATAACAAATTAGGATTTCTGCAGCATTAAATTAATTGAATATTTAAATGTAATAACTAATAATGAAATAATACTTTTCACCACTTTGCATAGGTATATGTTGTTGGAGGATATGATGGGCAAAACCGCCTCAGCAGCGTGGAGTGTTACGATTCATTTTCCAATCGATGGACAGAGGTGGCTCCCCTTAAAGAAGCTGTGAGCTCTCCAGCAGTCACAAGCTGTGTTGGCAAACTGTTTGTGATCGGGGGTGGTCCTGATGACAACACGTGCTCTGACAAGGTTGGTTAACTGGAGTTGTATCTTCTATCCACAGTAAAGGGAAATGCTGGCTTAAAAATACATCGTGCTGAGATCTGTTTTAATCAGTTTGAGTGGGGGATGGAATTACAGTACAAAAATATGTAGTAGAAAACATTAACTAATATTCTGTGACTTGGTCTCATTAGTGTGCTATTACTTGGTCTCTGTCATGGGTACTGTCACTGGCTTCATGCATTAAGTGAGCTGTGTGAATGCTTAAATCAAAGTGTTGGGAAAATGGTGTTAAATACAGTGCATATAAAGATGTTATTGATATATGGACCTAAATTAATATTGACTTAATTCTCTTGGTAAGTAACTGATTCTCGTTATAACCTCTATGGGTTTGCCATGTTGTAATTTCAAGTAGACTTCTAATACCATGTGCCTGTTTGTTTTCAGGTTCAGTCTTACGATCCCGATACTAATTCTTGGTTGCTCCGTGCAACTATCCCTATTGCGAAAAGGTGCATTACAGCTGTGTCATTAAACAATCTGATCTATGTTGCTGGTGGTCTTACCAAGGCAATATACTGCTATGATCCGGTTGAAGACTACTGGATACATGTACAGAATACATTCAGCAGACAGGTAATAAACACTGAAAGATTGTAGATGCCTGAAAAGTAATTTTTTTACATGAATATATTGACAGGAAATGCATAGAGACTTGTTTAGCCCTGGCAAATTGCATCTCTGATTCTACTTCATCTATGTAATTCAAAACCTCACAGAAGAGTTTCTAAACTAGTAGTGTTTCATCTGAATGTCAGTTAGCCAGCCCTATCTTTGTTTGAGAGCAGTTACTGTTGGATGACACTGTAACAGTATGATAGATAACATTTAAGTGTCTAGAAATTGATCTCTGTCAAGCTCTATTACATGTTGTTTTTTTTAATTTAGATTGAAAATAGTACTTTCCTTTAAGTTGAGTAAAGCCTTTCAATGCAACAAAAAGCATTGAAGGATGTGTTTACAGTGTGGGAAAAAAATACTATTTAGCATGAAATATCTGACTTAAGCAGTGAGAGCTGTATCACTTCAATTTATGGAATACTTGGCAGCACTTAAAAAAAAAAAAGTGTCCCCTCAGTAGTACAGTGTGTGTGTGTGTGTTGAGTTTTCCCTATGTTCTTTAATATCTGACAATCACCTCCTCTGCTGTTCCTACCTTGACAAAGATGTTTTTTTTTTCTTTCCCTCTCTTTTCTATGTTTTCTGCTCAGTTCTGTTTTACTGGTTTTAAGGAAAAAATAAAACTCTTAACTTTCTTGTCTCAAATATGACATAGTGTTGTCACCTCCTACTCATTCTTTCTTAGTCATGTTTTTATCTTATCCCCTCTTTACATCCCTCTTTATCTGTTACTCCTCCAAAGTGCTTGTTCTTTTTTTTTTTTTTTGCATCAATAGTACCTGCTGTGGTCCCTTTTCTGAAAATCTTTTATCTTTCCCCTTTCATTATCTCACCTATTTAAATGGTCATCTCTGAGTATGATATTCAGCTGTATTCCACTGTATCCCTTGAGTGAGCTACATAAATTGAAGGCTTGGACCTGAAATAGCCCTTTCTGTAGGATTGTGTTGCTGCTTTCCCCAACTGCTGAGCTTTCTGCTCTTCTTTTTTTAGAAAATAACAAACAGTCTGTTTACAAATGGCAGTTACAATGCTGTCCTTCAACTGGGGTAGATGTGCAGGAATTGAGATCTTGTTTTTTTCAATAATCATGTATTCACTTGTATATTTTGAAACAGGAGAATTGTGGCATGTCTGTGTGTAATGGAAAAATCTATATCCTTGGTGGAAGACGAGAAAATGGTGAAGCCACAGACACTATTCTTTGCTATGATCCTGCAACAGGCATTATCACAGGAGTAGCAGCTATGCCCAGGCCAGTATCGTATCACGGCTGTGTGACGATTCATAGATATAATGAAAAAGGCTTTAAACTGTAATTTTTTTTTCTTGGGGGGGAGGAGGAAATGGCAGGATTGAATCCAATGGTCTGCTGCAAGACGGGTTTTTAAATCCTGAAGTGGGAAAATGCCCTTTCCTAAGTGTCATGAAAATTGTATCCTGTGCCTTTAAAAAAAAAAAAAAAGCAGGGGTTAATTTAAATTAAAACTAGTCTACAAATCTGTATAGTTACCAGAGTATGTTGTACTAGTGATCAGAGAGGTTGCCCTATGTGTGTTAAGTAGTTAAAATCTTGAAAGCTTTTTGGGAAAGTGCCTTCACAAGCACTTGTGCCTGTGTCCTAAGAAGCAATACCTACAAGGTTTCAGGTTCTGCTAATTGAAAAAATATGTAGCAAATAAATTTTCAAAGTATCTAGTAATAATTACAGTTAAGAAAAAGCTTGTCTAATTACATATGCAAAGCATTCTTACAAGCAGATTATTTGGCTTAACCAAATAGATTTTAAGATCATGCATGATTTGGGATTTAAATAAAAAGGGGGGAGGGGGCGGAGGGATGATTTGAGCTACATAGGACAAATATTAGAATACTTGAGAAATGCTTTTCTCTGAAGGAGATCAGTGACATCTTGGTGGTTTTGTGAGCCACTGCAACATACTACAGTGCTGATTGCATACCTTAACACTATGGACCTTATTCATAGTGTTACTAAATGCTTGTCAGAAGTACAAGGTTACATGACATGGAAAACTAGCGACTACTGGGGTGCAGGTATGCATCTGTGAAGCAGATTTGGAATCCTGGTTTTTAACTTCCTGAATAATATGACTAAAGCCTGGAAGTTGCTGGGTTTGTTCTCTGCTCAATGTGAAGCATCTCTAAACTACTCAAGGAATAAAGGAAAGAACTTTGAATTCTACCGCTTTTCTGAATTGCATTATAAATTACCTGGTAGAAGAGGTAGGAACTCAGGTTGTACCCTACAGCTTACAAATTGGTCTTCCAGATCTGTCATTTGCAGAGATGGTGGAGTTACCCACCAAGTATTTTCTGGCCTTCCTTCAGACAATCACTCAATTTGACTACTGTATAAGCTGCTTGGCCACAGATGGAAGAGGTCCTGGAAAGGTCCCTTGTGTCACTAGAAAAAGAGCTGTGGAGCTGACCACATAGCCATGTGAGGGTAACTCCCACAAAACATGTTTGGCTAATTTTGAAGCCTAGAAAGTGCCTGTATTTCAACCCAGATTTTTTTTGTAGTAAAGGTATTTCTTTAATCTTTAAAGTCCTCCTTATATTTGTGTACTCTGTCTCATAGTTCCAGTATAGTTATACAACTGAGGCACAAATTCTTGAGAACTGAGATAGCACTTGAGAGTTGGAAAATGTATAGTACTTTCTATGTACCAGTTTGCTATTAATCACCAAAAAACTCAGGAACTCCCTTTCAAATGAATTCTGAGGACAGCAGCCAGTAGGGAAATTGGTCAGTGCCAGGGCAGAGAAAAACGTAAGGCTCCTGCAGAAGCACCCTGGCCTCAGGGTTCTGGTCTACATGCTTGCTCAGGAGGGTGAAAACAAGCACCATCTCTGGAACGTCGTTTGTTCCTCTGGACTCTCTTCACCATCTGTTTTCCCAGAGTATTTCTTCATGAGATGGAAATTCTGACCCTCAGTGAAGCTATGCCAAATTGGGAGTCGTCATTTTCAGTAACATATGGTCGTGACTTTTAAAGAGCACTAGGAGCTGCACTTTTGTGATGCATTAACTTGTAACCTCAGGAAAGGACGAAAATAACAGTTTTGGGCTGAATACCAAACGCTGCTTTGTATATGTTAAGAATATTGATAAAATCTCTGCATGTCAGTGATGTAATTAGGAAATGGGTCCCTGAGAACACATTCACAATGCCCTGAATAGGAAGCCATTTGGTAACATAAGACTTAAATTTAATCCTTTTCTAAGTTTCTTGTGCCTGCTTGCCAAGTGTTACTTTGAAAAGGTTATTTCAGTACCTGTGAATAAGGTCCATCAATAGCAATAGTAATTGCCCAATTAATGATGTTATATACTAACACTGTATAGTTTGTGCTATTGTTGTAAATGACAATGTAAAAAATGATAGGAGCACTTCATTAGAGATGCGGTTTGAAAAGTATTCTCCCTTCCTTTGATTTCCTTCTCGTTTGTATTAAGATGTGTGATGTTGATTGTCATGCTAAACTGTTTTTAAACATTCTTGATTCAGTGTCATTTAATGTATAGGTATCTCTTAACCTGGTTATAATACTGCACTATGTAAATACAGCTTTTTCTGGTTTTGAAAATACAGCTATAAACTGAAATTTCTTAATTATGTACTGCTACCTATTTTTGAAAATGAAAGTGTTTAATGAACCAGTAAATGCAGAAATGTAAAGAGAAGCTTTCCTCTACAGCTACAGTTCTTGAACCTGTACTCAGTGCTGAACAGTTAGGCGTGGAGTATTGCTGAAAGGGCAGTTACTCATACTATGATTTCCTCAAAACAAACAAACAAGTCTTTTGGTTTGAATCTGTAAGTAATTTTCACTTGTAACCTGCTCTGTTTAGAACAGTATTTTTAGATGTACTAGAATTGAACAATTCAACTTTGGTTTAATGAAAATGTACTGCTTTCCTAGAAGGATGCTTTATTCAGGAAATTGCTTTCCTGAGTCACCTGTTCTCTGATGCATTTCATTTAGGTGTAGATGGATTCAAAGATTAAAACTCTGACTTTTCTAGCTGATAGTTTGTGGTTGAGCAGTAAGTTGTGTTGTTTGCATGTTTTGTTGTTTTCCTCTCAGCCAGGAGTGAAAACTGAATGTCTTTCAGTATAATCAAGACTTTCATCATGCATGGTAACAGGTTGGCACCAAAGCAGGGCCACCTGTTTAAGATGTAATTTGAGCTTAACCATGCACAAGAAGAGGGGATCAGGTGTCTCCAAAGTCACACCTAGAACAAAAATCAAGAGTTGGCTAGTATCTCACTCCACTAAACAGATAAATGTTATGTGTTTCACTCTTAAAAAGAAACCAGAGTGAATGTTTTCCTTCTCCATTTTGCTATCCACTACTTCCTGCTTGAAACTTCATGAGGCATCCTTCTATTCTTAGCAGTATGATGTTAACTGAGAAGAAAGGTGATCTTGCCTTGTGGCCTGGGTTTGAGAAGGCTCTATATGGAAAGCTTGAGTATTGTATTGCAGCGTAGCCCATGGCCACCTGCTTTTGGACAGCCTCTGCATCCCTTTGTCTCGGTTGTCAAGCATACAATGCTGCCTGATAATAATTTGGCTTAGCTGTAGGCTCCCCTCTTAGTACTGCCTAAAAAGGCATAACTTGTGGCATCTCTTCCATTTGTACTGCTAGACAGTTAATTTTACAGTATGGGCCTCATGTACATTTTGTCAACTAAGCTCTGTGCTTTCCAGGCTATAGCAGCAAGAATCCATAGTTGTTTGTTTTTAATTAATTACCCATGCAATTCTCATTAAAGGCTGCTCATTTCATGGGTATCTTTAATGCAAATGATGCTGATATGGGCCTTTATGATAATTCATTCAAGCTTTATAAATGAGGTTTTTACCACTGCAAGACTCAGAGGCTGCTGACGCAGGAACTGGAGGTGCTCACTTTGACAGGCTCACAGAGGAAGCTTTGATTACCTGTGCTTGATGGTCACTTGTGCTTGAGAACAGGGGCACAGCTGGCTGCTCCAGCTTCTTCCTCAGATAGCTGAGCTTACCACCTATTTATTACCACCTATTGTAGATGAGAGCTCAATTTATTCTGTGTTTGTTTTATTTGATGGGCAAGGACAAGAGAAAGCAGTCTCACTTGCTCTCAATTTCCAAGCAAGGCACAGGGGTGTGCTGGAGCTGCGCCTTGTAGCAGGTAGGTAGAGCTGTGAACTTGCTCCAGCTCCACAGAGACCACAGAGTAGCTTGAGGGGAGGATGACAGCAAGAGAAAACAAGGGATTGTGCATTTTCTAGGTTTGCTGAACCAAGACATTTAGGATGTTCAAAGACATCTAGGATGTTCAGCTTGCAATTACAGATGCTGGAACTCAGTTGGTAAAAAATACCATTTATTGAGACTCCTAACTCAGATAAAGATGCATACTTGGTCAAGGGCTTCTAGAGGCAATGTTCAGGAAATGTAATGGTTCATTTCTCCTACTTGCCTAACTGGACAAGTATATCTCTTATTCCATGCCTGAAGATGGCAAAAACCAATTCAAGAGCATTAACGTGTGATCACTGTGAGGCAACGTGAATGTTTTTGTCTGAATGTAGACCTGTGAATACAAGAAAGTACAAATCAAATGTTTTGTTGTGCCTGGTTAAAAAATCTGATATATAAAGGTTCTATAAAGTAGAATCTTTTTCAGATGAGATTTTTATGCAAAAATTTGCTATCTGATCGGGGGCCAAACAGTGATTTTTTTTATTTATGTATCTAGTATACAAGTTTCCACAAGTTCCATGATTTCATATGGCATTAATAAATATCCATCTCACTGTCGTTCAGTTTATCATGGTCATGTCAGTGCTGCGAGTGTTACCACAAAACAGTAAGCAGCCTCATCCTGGCCCCAAACCAGATGCACCATGTCCTTGTGTCAGCTTCTTCCATAACTAATGCTATGCATAAATTTGTTACTCAAAGTATATAGCCCTCATAAAATTACTGAGAACTCTACAGGAACTTTTTTCTACTGAAATGCTCCAGTCTATACTCCTGTTTATGTGCACATCCATGTGTGAATAGTTTCTTGATCATTTTATGATAATACTGTTCTGAGTAAGGCATATAAAAAGGCCCCTTGTACAGCGTGTTGATAATGTAATTATGGCTTCCTTTGTGTCATTAGTTCCAAAGAAAATAGCGCGTTAATATTGAAAAATTATTTGTGCCTTGAATTCACTTACATTTTTATCTGTTGTGAAAAAGAGTTTGGATTATTCTTCCTGTTTATTAGGATCGGTCTTACTATCTGGACTGTTGATGTCCTTCCAAGAGAAATAGAACGGTTAAACCTGTTGCTTAGATTGCACCTAGAATGCTTTCATTATTGCAGTGCTATGGCAGACTGAATCTAGGGAAATTTCTTTTTTTTCTCTTTGCTGTTTTCAGCACTCCTTAGTGACAAGATTCGAGTTCAGTCTTTGATTTCCTGTCCTTAATATGTACAGTTCTCTGTTTCTGAACATGCTGACTTGTCAGTTGTGAGCATCTTGTTCAATATACACCATACAAAGCAGTAATATGATGCAGCACAGCAATAAGCGAAATCAAGAGACTTGAATGTAATATACTATTACTAATTTCATTTATGTAAATGCTAGACCTATGTGGGTCGTTCCCTTTTTGGTGTACCTGTAGCACTTTGGATGAATAGGAACTACTTGGCCATGGAAAGAAAGTTTACCTCCTGAACTTTTATCCAGATGCTATTTTTCTCTTCACTTGAAATCATGCTTCGATTTGACTGAAGAAAACAGCAGTTCGTGTTTTTCCTTGCCAGTTTCTTTATTAACTGAAACGGGAAAGGTTTAAGCTCTGCTGGGAGCTGATCTCGCCTTCAAGGACGATCTGGTGCAGCACAGATTACACCTGGAGAAGCGGCGCAGACGGCTCGGTGCGAGTCATGGCGCATACGTCTCCAGGTTGTGCTGACAGCAGGAGCGCGACTTTGTCATGTAGTGCAATCGCAATAACATTTACCTGTTACGTTTAAATGTATTTCTTGCATAATTCTTTGAAAGTTGTGTTGTATTTTTTTTTTAAGTTCAATGTACCTAATAAACAGTTGCCTTTTGAATAGTTGCCTGTGCTTTACTTCAGGTCTGAGATCCAGGGGGCGGCTTGGGGGGGTAGGGAGGAAATTCCTTCCTGTTTTCCTTAGGTTTTGTGTTAGATTCCCCTATAAAGAGGCTGCCAAGGGGCAGAGAAGTGACAAAAGTAACAGGGCAGTTGGTGCTGGGTACTGGGAAGCCAAAAGGATGCGAAGGGGCTCTGACGGCAAAAATGGCAGAAAATGAGGACAGAAGGGCAGGAAGGTGGCCGGGGAGGGAGCAGCTCGGCTTGTCAGGAGCCTCGCACACCAGTGCTCCCCCTGCACCTGGGCTGCTCCCGGCTCCTGACGCGGTCCTGTGAGGGGAGGGAACCGGGGGGGGGGGGGAACCGGGCGGGCTGTGCCCGGCCCCGCCCCGCCGCCTCTGTCCGCCTGCGCGGGCCCCGCCCCGGCGCTGAGGGGCCGCGAGGCGCTGCGCTCATGGCGGCGGCGGGGGCGCTGCGGGCGGCAGCGGGACGGGGCCGGGGCCGGGGCCGGCGCTGAGCGCGGGCGGCGGGGCCGGAGCCGGGGCTGGGGCCGGGCGGCGGCGCGCGGGTGAGCGGCGGGCAAAGGGGGAAGGAGCGGGAGAGGGAGGGGGGGAGCGGGGCGGGAGCGGCGGCGGCGGCGGCTTTGTGTGAGCGGGGGAGGGGAGGGGAGGGGAGGGGAGCAGCGCACGTGGGACGGGGCCGAGCGGGCACCGCCCCCCCCCCCCACCCCGGGCCCTCAGGGGGGGGTCGGTGGGGAGCGGGGAGCCCTTGGCCCGGTGCCGGTAACGCCTCCGCCCCTCCCCTCGTGGCGGCAGCCGGGAGCATGTCCGGGATGAAGAGAGCGGTGGCGGAGAAGGACCCCGACTACGAGGACATCGCCGTCGCGCAGCCCAGCAAGCGGCACCGCGCGGCCGAGCGCTCAGGTGGGAGCCGCGGGCACGGGGGGGGGCCGGGGGGGGCGGGCGTCGCGCCCAGGGGGCTGCGGCTGAGGCAGTGCCCGGCACGGGCATGGAGCACGGGAGCTGACACGGCCGGGAAACGGCTCCCAGACCCCCTGCTCCAGCCACCCCCCTACCACCAATGTCACCACTGAGCCCTGTCCCCAAGCACCACGTCCAGCCTTTCCTTGAGCACCCCCAGGGACGGTGACTCCACCACCTCCCTGGTCAGCCTGTCCCAACTCCTGACTGCTCTTTCTGAGCAGAAATGTCTCCTCATTTCAACCTGAACCTCCCCTGGCACAACCTGAGGTGGTTCCCTCTGGTCCTGTCAGCAGTTACCACGAGCTCCCCAGGACCCCAGCTGCATGTACTGGTCCCTGCAGGTGCGACATGCTCCTTCCCAGCAGTGTGAGGGGTGAGGCAGGGAGAGAGGTGCTTGGGAGGGTGGAAGAGAGGAGGAGCGAGGGAAGGAGGGATGGAGGTAGCTGCTGGGTGGGCTTGCGCTGGGGCTGTCAGAAATCTCTGCTCTGGGAGCCCTCCCCATGGTTGTGAGCTTTGGGCAGGTGAGTGTAGAGCTTCTTGCCCCAGGGACAGGGAGTGGGCCAGTGAGAGAGGATAACGATGGGAGGAGCTGAAGAAATGAAGAAAATACTAGTCCTACGAGGAGCGGCTGAGGGAACTGGGTTTGTTCAGCCTGGAGAAGAGGAGGCTCAGGGGCGACTTTATTGCTCTTTGTAAGTACATTAAAGGAGGCTGTAGAGAGGTGGGGGTTGGCCTGTTCGCCCATGTGCCTGGTGACAGGACGAGGGGGAATGGGCTTAAGTTGCGCCAGGGGAGGTTTAGGTTGGATATGGGGAAGAACTTCTTTACTGAAAGGGTTGTGAGGCATTGGAACGGGCTGCCCAGGGAGGTGGTGGAGTCACCATCCCTGGAGGTCTTTAAAAGACGTGTAGATGTTGAACTTAGTGATATGGTTTAGTGGAGGACTGGTTAGTGTTAGGTCAGAGGTTGGACTCGATCTTGAGGTCTCTTCCAACCTAGAAATTCTGTGATTCTGTGAAATGGGAGCTGAGAAAAATGCAGCTGGCTGTAGGACCTGAGGAAGATCCAGGGACAGCAGGATGCTGCAGCTGCTGGTTTGAGAGGGACATGGAGTGGCTTTGCAGGGGATGCTCTGGAGGACACTGTATAAGTGGACAAGTCGGAGGAAGGTGACCTGCAGGTTTTCCCGGCAGGTCTGTTAAGGGGTTGGCAGGGGAGCATTGCTGGAGCTGGCTGGAACCTGCCACTTGCTCTGGTCATGTGTATCTGTCACTGTAAAGGTGTTTACAGCCTGCTTTGGAAGCCACTCTTTGGAAGACCTTAACGGTTAGCAGACTTAGGGCCTTGGGACGTTGTCCTTGCCAAAGGGAACTTGTTATTCAGGTGATTCTTCCAAATTGACTTCTGTCTTTCTCTCTTAGAAGATCCCCCCGTTTTCCATACAAGAATACCTTAAGAATACAAATTTTGCTAACAGTCTTAACTGAGGACTGTGGTTGATGCTAAGCAGGACAAAATATGAAAATAAAGTGTTCTTAAAAGCCTCTGTAATGTAACCACAAATTCTAAAGTGCTTTAATTGTCTTAATCCTGGTATTGCACGGCCTCAGTCTTGGGAAGAGATGCAGTTGTCTTTGTCTGAGCAGCACATTTCATGCCTTATTGTGTTCAAGTTTAGTTTAAGTGTAGCCTTACATGTGAATTTCCCAAGTACGTGGTTCATGTCCAAGTTCATGGTTGGGGAGAAATTATATTCTGATGGTTTTTAATTTTGCATTACTCATCCTATCCTACCAATTCTATCGTAATTCAGTTTTAATGTGGGCTTGAACTAATTCTAGTTCTAGATAGTGTGTATGTGTGTGTATATATATATATGGAAACCAGTAAATACCTGTAGGATACCCTCTTGCAAATGCAAGCCTAGGTTATGTTACTCACATTGTAGGTACCCAATCGGACAGTAAAATTCCTTGTCACAGTAATTACCTGATAGCTGTAACACACCGGCAATTTTTGCCTTGCTTTTCATTTCTTTGCTCTTTCCATGTAGGGTCTTAGAAGCCTCTTTGAACAGATAAATGGCCTTTAGTCAAGCAAATGCTTCCTCTGAAGCTCGACACACAGCCTTAGTGTTGTTGCCTCCTGTTCTGTTGAGAAACAACATAAAATTTTTCTAGGGAACCCAGGCTGGTTTTTCTCTCCTCTGCCTTGTGGTGTGGTCATAGTGCTTCTGACACAAGCTGGAGGACCTTTTTCAGGCTTTCTTCGAGACGTACAACTGCTCTTCTGAGTCCTTACTTAGAACTGATAAGAACACGTTGCTTGGATTGCTCTGATTCAGCCCTCCTGGAAGAGGATTTTGTAGGAGGTACACCAGCTTTCAGCAGCGTAGTTCCTTTTGTGGCTAATAAAAGGCTTGTAGGCACTCCAGAGCAGGCTGTGCTCCATGCCAGTGCTAAACATATAAAATATTGGCTTGCATTATTATTGCTACATGAAGTGTAAATTTCCTGGATATGAATTAGGCCAGGGAGAGACAAAGATGTACATAGCTTTCCAGGGTACTCTGCACAATTGCAGTGATAGCTGCGCTTGACAATAACATTTTTTGTTTGTTTTTTGTTTTGTTTTTGTTTTACTGTTTACAGCTTCAGTAGGACAGAAGTAAGCAGTTTGGTCATATGTTGTTTGTCATCTCAGACCTAAAAAGAAAAAAATAGCCTTCCACATAAGCCAGCTTTTAAAGACGCATGTGATTTTTGTTAAGACAAATTACTTTTTTTTGCAGAGAACTTATCCCTAACATTTTTTTGATGTTGAAATTATCCCTTCACTTTTCACTTGTTAATGATTTATCTTCGTTTTTTTTTCAAGTGGAGCATCAGAAATTGAAATATTTCTTCTTTATTTTTCATATGTGGCCTTGTGCAGCTCGAGATGTTGCTGTGCAGAAGATTGAGACAATTATTAAAGAACAGTTTGCTGTCGAGATGAAGAATAAAGAACATGAAATTGAAGTTATAGATCAGGTATAAAGGTTTTCTTACTAAAAAAAAAAAAAGTTAAAGTCCTGTGATTTGCTTCTGGAGATTGGGGTAGTGGTTATCTGTTCATTGTTATATGTTATATATTCATTGCTCTATGTTACCTCTACTTTTCTTTTTATAGCGCCTGATTGAAGCAAGAAGGATGATGGATAAGCTGCGTGCCTGTATCGTGGCTAACTACTATGCCTCTGCTGGTCTTCTTAAAGCTGGAGAGGTAAAGATTACTTTGTGAAAAAAACAGACTTTGAGGGGTGTTTGTGAAAAGAGATGTGTAGCCCCCTGGTTATACAGCTAATGTTGGGGTTCGAGGTGCAGTTTCTGAAGTAAAGGAATCTGAACCCCCGCTGAGAGCAGTGGGAGAGGTGACCTGGTAGGTGTCACTGGCTGGGCCTTGGCCACATCAGTCATCTTGACTGAAGTGAGAAGTCCCTGGGCAGCGCTTGGTTCTGCCTCCTGAAACACTCGGTACTTTTTGTCATGCAGCAGGGCACCTGGCTTCTCCCACACCTCACAGTTATCCTTGCAAAGCACTGGAGAGTGAAGACCAAATTTTCCCATCTCACAAATGGAATGAAAATAGATGGACTTAGAAACTTGTCAGAAAAGAAAACCCACGCACATTTCTTCAGTCCTGGGCAGTGAAACAATCTTCCCTTTACCCAGGCAGTCGTTCTGTTAATGGTGTGTTAACCAGGCTGATAGCAGCAGTGAAGCATGAGGTAAATCAAGGAGCTATCACAAAAAGATTAAAAATTCACAAAGAGGTTAAGAAATAAAACAACAGAGCCCCTAGGAGTTAACTCTCCCATTCTGAGCACTGATTCTTTAATGGCCTGGTAATTGTGGGGTGTTCCAGGCTCACACTGAAGCTGAATGCAGGCTTCTGACTGACAGGTTTGCCTATTTTAATTAACTCCAGGAGCTGGAAAAATGGTAGCCGTTTTCCAGGAAAAATCTAAACTGATACTGA